AGAGTTTCTCTGTGGCTTTGGAGCCTGTCCTGGCACTACCTCTGTAGACCAGGCTGGTCTCGAACTCCCAGAGATCCACCTGCCTCTGCCTCCCGAGTGCTGGGATTAAAGGCATGCGCCACCATCGCCCGGCATTGCATTACATCGTTAAATGAGCTGTATAGGTAGAATACCCTGAACAAGATTAGAAATATATGTACAGTATGTTTTAACAAAATTAATCTCACACCGGGTGGTGGTGGCGCACACCTTTAATCCCAGCACTTGGGAAGCAAAAGCAGGGGGATCTCTGTGAGTTTGAGGCCAGCCTGGTCTACAGAGTGATTTTCAGGACAGGCTCCAAGCTACAGAGTTACCTTGTCTCGAAAATTAAAAAAAAAATTAATAATAATAATAATCTCAAATTTGTATACAATATATAAAAGTCCAATCAAATATAAAACATTTAAAACTAGTAGTTGCTTTCTAAAAGTAGATTCAATAATCCACTGTTTTATTTTATCAGGATCCCTGGAACTAGAGTCACAGACAGTTGTGAGCTGCCATCTGGGTGTCTTGGAACTCACAATATTGACCAGGCTGGCCTCAGACTCAGAGTCCACCTGTCTTTGCCTCCCAAGTACTGGGATTAAAGGTGTAATCCTAAAAAATGTTCTGTGCTCTTTTGTTTGTTTTTGTTGTTTTGTTTTTTGAGACAGGGTTTCTCTGTGTAACAGAGATAGCTCTCCTGGAACTACCTCTGTAGACCAGGTTGGCCTTGAACTCACAGAGATCCACCTGCCTCTGCTTCCCCAGTGCTGGGATTAAAGACACCCATCACCTTTTTAAAAAAGGTTTTGTGTGTCTGGGGGTGTTTTGTCTACAAATACGTGTATGCACGCAGCTTTTGAGGAGGCCAGAAGAGGGCATCAGATCCCAGGAACTAGAGTTACAATGGCTGTCAGTTACCATGTGGGTGCTGGGAATTGAACTGGGGTTCTCTGCAGGAGCAGCTCCTCTTAACTGCTGAGTCATCTCTCCAGCCTGAGTTGTGCTGTTTTTGACAGCATTATTCTATCTAGCTGGCTCTGTGATACAAACTGTGGTCCCTGCTTTTTTTTTTTTTTGGAAGCCAGAGCAGGAGAATCACTTGAACCATCCATTCATGAGTTGGAGAGCAGTCTGAGCAACACAGCAAGAACGAACAGTTTCTCAACAGTGTGGCAACAGTAAGCGTGCCCTCAGGAGGCAGCTCCCGTGTCTGCAAACGTCTCTCCAGGTGTTTCCTCTTCATCTGTTACCAATAAAGGCTGTTTGTGCCCTAAAATAAATAATAACTAAATTAATGTAAAGTTTTACTTTGAGAAAGGGTTTCTCGTTCTCAACAGACTGTCATGCGGTCACAATATGAGGAGGGGCAGAGGCCCTCACTGAAGGCTGTTATTTACTTAGTTTTCATTTCTGCTGTTTCACTTTTGTTTTTGGAAGGGCTCTCTCAGTAGTCCTGGTCCTCCTGGAACTTGAAGCCACGCACACTGCTTCAGCCTCCAGAGCCCGGAGGTTACAAGCCGGAGTCACCATGACCGGTTCTCCAAACATGTAAAGCCATTTCCTCCGCTACTCACAAATGTCACATGAAGCAAGGACAGTGCCCTGAAACTGAGCACCGGGTCAGCTGTCAGCGCAACAACTCCGGATAGCAATAACAAGAGGTATCCGGGGACCCCCGAGTGGCCACCCATGCGCTTCGGTTCTGCACCAACCACTCACCAGGTTCTCTTGTTGTTTCGCTTTAGGTGCTGAGAGGTCAGAATCCCGGGCTGGGAGATGGGGCCAGTTTTTTTGTTTGTTTTGTTGTATTAGACAAAGTCTCCCTACGCAGCCCTAGCTAGCCTGGATTCGGCTGTGTAGACCCGGCTAACGTCAAACTCACAGGGATCCTCCTGGTGAGGCCAGTTTCGAGATGAATCTCCTGCCAGTTCCGGACTGCCCGAGTCACACCCCCGTGGCGTCAACCCCGGAGCCCGCTGGCGTAGCTGCCAAAGTCCTAGGATGCCAAAGGGGCAGGGCAGGAGGAAGACAGACGGGGGCCAATGGCAGTCCAGCGCCTCACCTGGGTGGACACGTGGGTCCAGGTATGCGGCGGCCCCGCCCTGGCCCAGCCCGGCGGACTCCGGGCTCCATCTGGGAGCGGAAATTCCTGCAGGGGCTGGACGCCGCGGGCGGAGCTCAGCATGGAGCCCGTGGACGCCTGGACCCCTGGGAAGGTGGCAGCTTGGCTGAGAGGTTGGTGAGCTGGGGGCAAGGGTGGGCTCGAAGGGAATAGAGTGGTGTCCTTTGAACAGAAAGTAGGGAGGGGGCAAAGGAGAAAGAACCTGCCGAGTCTGTTAATCAACAAGTATTTATAGACGGTCTGCCAAGTACCAGTGTACCAGGCTCCCCTGAACAGGCACCGTGCTGGTAGACATAGGCCAGGCCACACCAGACGCAGGAAAGGGTCTTTCCACATCTTTGTATGGCTTTGTATGTTCAAGCGCCTGCCAGGGTGGCGACGGGCAGGTGCAGTAATAGGCAAAACAGGGTGGCCATGGTGGCCCACGCCCCCTTTATCTCCGTCATCTTCCCTGTGCCCCAGGGCCCTGCCAACTGTTTATTAAGCCCATTTTTCGGAAGTGCAAACATGTACAGGGCCAGGAAGTGATTTGTTCAGTCTTGGAACAGGGCTGTCCCTGGTGTCGCTTCTCTCCTCAACCTGAGGCTGGCAGTGAGAGAAGCAGAAACCCCAGCCATTCTGAAGGGGGGGGATGAACACAGCCCCACCCTGGGGCTGCCGTCAGAGGGAAGACCACTCCCCGGGCGACCAAGAGACACAAACACAGGCAGACTCAGAACTGGGGGCTTCTGTGACCGCAGCAGGGAGCGGGGAGGCTGGTCATTGCTTTCACAGGGGCAACTGGAGCTCCCTGGAGGCCGTTTCAGTGTGAGCAGCCCAGCCGAGCTGCAGTCATGCTCCCAGGCTGGGGCCCAGGCCAGTGCCGCCACTCAGCAGGTGTGTCAGCACAGGTCTCAGTTTCTCTTCCATGAAACTAGACAAGATGTGACCATGCTGGTGTGACTGGCAATGTGTCACTCAGTGTTGGTGTCTCCTGGGAGACCTTTAACATGGGGAGGAAGTTGTCCAAATAACCCTGGCTGAGTGAGCTGCCAGTCAGGACTCTTACTGTCACAGGACGACTGAGAAACACCCGATGACTACACACATTCCCCAGGGACATTCTAGCCTGGTGGGGTGGGAGGTGTGAGCAAGCCACTGTCTCTCCCTCCATCAGGTCTCCCATTGTGTATCAGGGATGATACATAGTCCCCGCCTTCTAGAAACATGAAGATCAATGTGCCGATACGTGTAGTGATATTTTGTTTGTAATAGCTGACTCTGGGTTTTTAGTAGTAATACCAGTTAGAATTCGTGCTACAAATATGGGTGAAGTTCTTTTTATTTATTAATTTTTGAAGCAGGGTTTGTTTCTCTGGGTAACAGCACTGGCTGTCCTGGAACTTACTCTGTAGGCCACAATGGCTTCGAATTCAGCGATCCCCTTGTCTCTGCAGTCCAAGTGATGGGATTAAAGGCATGCACCAGCCGGGCGATGGTGGCGCATGCCTTTAATCCCAGCACTGGGAGGCAGAGGCAGGCGGATTTCTGTGAGTTCGAGACCAGCCTGGTCTACAGAGCTAGTGCCAGGACAGGCTCCAAAGCCACAGAGAAACCCTGTCTCGAAAAACCAAAATAAATAAATAAATAAATAAATAAATAAAGGCATGCACCACCACACTTGACTCAGGGTAAAGTTCTTGAAACATCGCCTCACACAAAGTCAGGTCACAGTGGACAGCCTGGCAATAGTGTGATGGCTGTTAACTGCCTGACGGTGGACCAAGTGTTTGGCACACATCAGTCGTCTAAAACACATGGTTAGAAGGCAGATGCTTTCATTGTTCCCATTTTATTTATTTTTAATCCCCCCCCCAAGACAGGGTTTCTCTTTAGCTTTGGGGGATCTGTCCTGGAACTAGCTCTTGTAGACCAGGCTGATCTTGAACTCACAGAGATCCACTTGCTTCTGCCTCCCGAGTGCTGGGATTAATGGAGTGGACCACCACCGCCCGGCTTTATTTTTAAATTTTTATTTCCTCTCCAATGCATGCCAGAGTAACTGGAGAGACTTTGACAGCCCAGGCCAGCACAGTGCCTGCAGCTGCCACTCGACTTTCCTATATATGTTGAAAATAATAAATAAATAAATGTTTATTTCCTTAATGTATATGAGTATTTTGCCTGCATGTATGTGTGTGCACCTTGAGTGCGCTTACAAATGGTTATGGGCTACCACCATGTGGGTGCTGGAAACTGAGCCAGGGCCCTTGCAAGAACAGCAAGTGCTCTTAACCACTGAGCCAACTCTCCTGTTTTTGTTTTGTTTTGTTGTTTTTTGGAGATAGGGTTTCTCTGTAGCTTTGGAGCCTGTTCTGGAACTCACTCTATAGACCAGGCTGGTCTCAAACTCACAGAGATCCGCCTGCCTCTTCCTGCCTCTGCCTCCCTAGTGCTGGGATTAAAGGGCGTGCACCACCCTCACCCGGCTGCACAGGACTCTCTTAAGTGTTAGCTCCCACTCAGTTTTCCCTGCCTCCGGGGTGGGGGTGGGGGGTCCTAGGAAACAGGCTCAGGTCCTAGGCAAGAGCAGCATGTCTAGTTCTCAACCACTGGAACATCACGCTCGCCTCTTTTGTTTGTTTTATTTTTTGGTAACTGGATTGCAAGGTGTTTGAGCATGAATTTGGTAGATGGCAATGCCAGCAGGTTGGACACACTTGCTAGAGTGGCTGCTGTATATCATTGTCAACTCAGTAGCATCAACTGCGAGATGGGACAGAAGCCAGCCCGGGTCTCAGGGTTGTCATTAGCCACAGGTAGGAGGGGAAGAGCTCTGATGTAATGGAACCTCAGAGTGGTAATGACAGCTGTTTCTCCACGCTGACCCCTTGCTCCAGGCCTTGATGATGCTCTGCAGGACTATCCCTTCGAGGACTGGCAGCTGCCTGGAAAGTACCTGCTGCAGCTTTGTCCCCAAAGCCTTGAGGCTCTGACTGTGTGGCCTTTGGGCCACCAGGAGCTCATTCTAGATGGGGTGGAACAACTTCGGGCCCTGGTGAGTAAGCACTGGCCATAGCATCCGCCACACTGGTTGTAGCATCCGCCAGTCTAGGGGTTTGCCCACGTGGGCTGGCTGTTGAGGGGGCAGTAAGATGCTCGTTTTTGATGCAGGGCTCCAAGCTACCTACAGAGAACCTGCAGAGCCTGGCTCAGGGGCTGCTAGAAAGGACCCAGGCCTTCCAGAACTTGGTCCAAGGCCGGTTGGGCAACTGCTCCGAGACTCCCTCTGATGTCCTCACAGCTGCTGTGGAGCTGATGCGGGAAGCCCAGGCCCTCCTCTCCTGGCTCAACAGGTATTAGGGATGGGGTAACTTCTGACCCTTCTCATCCTGGGGCCTCGGACTGAAGAACAGTGCTTATCTCTGGATCAGATATGTCAGAGCAAACCCAAGAGTGTGCAGGGACACTAAGCCACCTTGCTTCTCACCTCGCCCTGGAGCTTGTCATCCCAATGGTTTTATCAACAGTTGAGTTTTTGTTTGCATGTTTGACATTAGTGTGCATGGGGGTGTTTGGGAGGTTGGGGGGGGGTTGCACAGGAGTGTGTACGAAGGTCAGAGCATCCCTTGTAAGAGTTAGTTTTCGACTTCCACCATGTGAGTCCCGGGTATTGAACTCAGGTACTCAGACCCTCACCACTGTAGGCAAGCACCTTACGGATAAATAATCTCCCCGGTCCCTCAACAGCTCTTGGATAGAGAGCTTCCCCTCTGCGGGCAGTTGTCTGTCCTACATGTCCTATCTCAAGTATCACCTCCTCAGGGACGCCTGTGTCACCCTTACATATGTAATACTCAGAACAGTTGAAGTTAAGTCATTAATAATAGGACTGTCTGTTTGATGGCTGTCTCCCTGGTATCAACAACAGGGCCTGGCACACACGGGACAAAAAAGTCCTGTGCTGAGCCCAGCGCACTGAGGTAGGAGTTGTCACCACTTCTCAGGTGAGGAATTATTTCCAACACAGTGTCTTAATTGTCTTTCCTGTCAGGTACCTCTTCTCCCAGTTAAATGACTTCTCTGCCTGCCAAGACATTGGTGTGTTGTGCCGGGAGCTGGGCCAGGTCTTGCAGGAGGTAGGAGGACAGGGGCCACTCCAGGTCCCAGAGCTTTTTATAACCCGTGAATCAGACCAAGATTAGGTGTGAGAGCTGGGGGTGGGGAGAGCAAGCAGAGGAAAAGGCCTGCCTCTGGGAATGGGGTAACAGGCAATGGGGTGGGCCGTGGGATGTCTCTGGCAGAAGTTCAGGTGCCGTTTGGGAAAGGTAGCAGGAGAGGATGTGGGTAGTGATTGAGTCAAGTGTCACGTTGGAGAAAGGAAACCTTGGCGTTGAACACTGAGACCATTCTAGTTCTGCCAAGGAGACCAGTTAGAGAAAGCAAGTGAGGAACATCCAAGGCCCTTCTCAGCCTCTCTCCGTGTCCTCAGGAGAAAATGGCCCCCATTGCTATCTAACAGGGGGCTCCTGTACTCTCTGTTTTCAGGACTGCCCAGAGGCCGAGAAGGAAAGCAGCATCCTGAGGATTGTGAGTCTCAGGGCTGGGTGGGGAGGCAGAGGATATGGACTCGGACTCAGCCAGACAACCTGCCCTCTTCCCCCAGTGCAGTCACGTGGCCGGGATCTGCCGCAACATCCTGACGTGCAGCCCAGAGGAGCTGCTGGAGCAGAGGGCTGTGCTGGAGCAGGTGCAGCTGGATGACCCTTCAGTGAGTTGACTCCCACCTTTTCCTGCAGCCGCCCACAGCCTTGGCTGAGCCCTGAAGTATGGTCCGGGAGTCCCAGCATCTTGTATTGCTTAGTCTGTTGTGTACAGGTGTTTAATTGAGGGCCCAGAGGACCTACCTGGCGTCTCACCTTTGCTGGGCACCTTTCCCAAGCCAGAGGGGCTATTTAGCATGGCCTGGGTGACATTCCAGCCCTGACACGGTTCTGAAGCAGATTAATAGAGATGGGAGGGAATGCTTACACTTTAAACTTGACCAGTTAAGAAAACCAGAGTTAGGGCTGGAGAGATGGCTCAACTGTTAAGAGCACTGGCTGCTCTTCCAGAGGACCCAGATTCAATTCCCAGCACCCACTTGGCAGCTCACAACTGTCTGTAACTCCAGTTCCAGAGGATCTGACACCTTCATACCAAATGCATATAAAATAAAGTTAAATAAATATTAGGGCTGAAGCCATAGCTAAGCGGTTAGGAGCACTGACTGCTCTTCCAGAGGACCAGGGTTCAATTCCCAGAACCTACAGAGCAGCTAAGAACTGCTTGTAACTCCAAGATGTGACATTCTCACACAGACATACATGAACACCAATGCACATCAAATAAAAATAAATTATTAAAAAAAAAAAACAAAGGAAACCAGAGTTGCTCCCCCTACCCCCCAACCCCATGCCATCCCCCATTCTACCTTCAGGAAAAGTTCTGAGACTCTGTTACCTCAGAAATCAGCGACACAGCTTTCCTGTGGCCTTATGGGTTTGTGTGTGTCTGTGTGTGTGTGTCGCCAACGAGCCCAAAGTTACACAGCAGTTACAATCCCATCTTGAGGCTCTGTACCCATTCTGTCTACCTTAGAGTCCTGGTACCCAGGATGAGGTCCTGCCCATTGGCTCTGCTCAACCCCGGTTTTCTTGACTTAGTTCCTATCTCTACAGGATCTAGAAATCCATACCACCAGCAACTGCCTACACTTCGTGTCCCAAGTAGGTGCCCAGGTAAGAGCCCCACCACTCTCACCACCCGTGCCTACCCTGAACTCTCAGCTGCAAGCCATGCCAGCTTCAGGTCCAGGAAAGCCCCATTCTCTGGCCCCATTTCTCCTCACTCTAGGCTCCCGCCAGCTCCCAGCTCCTGCCAGGAGATGAGATTGTCCAGATCAATGAGCAGGTGGTGGTGAGTGAGGGAGCGGGCAAGGTGGTGGGGATGGGTGCTGAGGAGGCTCATGGGGGCAACAGGAACATCGCCTGAGGGGTTTGCCCCTTGTGAAGACCAGGGTTGTGGGAGCTGCCTTGCTTGACATGAGCCAACACAGGAAGGTGTCAGGGTGACCCCTGGCCTTTCCTCCCCAAGAGCTCAGTTAAAGAGGCTCCTGGTGGCTCCCAGAAGGTGGACAGAGAGGGCACTCCTGACAGGGAAGAGTTGCTGGGCAGTTTAGAACCTCACTCAGTGTCCCTGTCCCCCAGGTGGGCTGGTCCCACAAGAACGTGATGGAGCTGCTGAGGGAGCCAGGAAGGGTCAGCCTAGTGCTGAAGAAGATCCCAGTGCCCGAGACCCCTTCTCAGGTACCTGCCCCCACCCCTCCTGCGTGCTTTCTCACTCCCGTGGGCAGCTCTGTCACTTTGTTTTTGATTGTTCCCAGACGCCCCTGGAATCCCCTCACCTACCAAGCCAGTCCCTGCCTCTGACCCCACTATCTCCCAGGTAACAAGCTCTGTCTACTGGGTGTGTCTGTTTTTTGTTTGTTTTGTTTAAAAAAAAGCTTAATGGGTACTACTTTTAAAAAAAAAATCAAAAAACAAAAAACCTTTATTTTATGTGAGTTGGTGTGAAGGTATCAGATCCCCTGGAACTAGAGTTCACCAGACTGGTCTTGAACTCACAGAGATCCACCTGCCTCTGCCTCCCAAATGCTACGATTAAAGGAGTGAGTCGTTGGGCCCAACTTCTGGGTATTCTTGAAGCGGGGACCATAGGCTCATCTCCTGTCCTCTTGTTTTCCGCAGGGTTCCGTCCGAAGGTCTCTTTGCCTTCAACCTGTCTGCAGATGGAAGTCCTGGAACCAGAGCTGCCTGGACAGGTAGTTTCCCAGCGCCAGCAGGTGGCACACGCTCTGGAAAAGGCATCTCCGTGCTGACATTCCTAACCACAGGCCTGGGCCCTGAGCTCATGGATTTCCCTTCTCTCTCTTCCCTGCCTGACAGACTCTGCCTCCCTTGACACTGAGTCCCTGCCCACGCCCCCTCCAGCCCCAGGCACTGTTTCAGAAATAACAGCAGAGTCTCCGGAGACATCTGAACACTCTGACCAGGTAAACTCAAGGACTCAGCAAGGAGGGCCATGGGCTCTGGCTCTAGAACCTGTTCTAAGCTCTTTGTGGTCTTTGCAGAGTTCCACCCTTGGTCGGAAGAAATCAAAAGGTATGAGCACCCCTGACTGGGTGGGGTCCCTCAGTGCACACGCATGCTTCCGACACAACAGTCTTTTCTGGAACCATGGACCCCTGTTTCTCGCCTAGGCCTCTTGCTAGCTCTGAGACTGAGAAAGTACCTCTGATCTCAGATGGTGTGTGGGTGTGCATGTGTTTGTGTACGTGTGTGCGTGCATGTGCGTGTCCCAGAGCTTCCCAGAGCACTCTACCACTACGCTGTATGTCCAGCCTCTCTAAAGTCACTCCACCTGAGGCCATTTGTGACATTGTGAGCGCAGAGTGAGTTCAGACAGTTCTACTGGGGATTCCCATGGCGGCAGGTAGACTGAGGGAAGGATGCTTGCTGGGCCCTCAGCATGCTCTGCTCTGTCGGGGCAGGTATGGCCACAAGGTTGAGCCGCCGGCGGGTGTCCTGCCGGGAGCTGGGCCAGCCGGACTGTGACGGATGGCTTCTACTACGCAAGGTACCCGGTGGCTTTATGGGCCCACGCTGGCGCCGCTGCTGGTTTGTACTCAAAGGACACAACCTCTACTGGTACCGCCAACCCCAGGTGAGACCCCATGAACACTTGCATAGGTACCACGATAAATTCTTATTTGTTTGACACAGGGAAGAGCCATACCTAGCCCTAGGCCTTAGTATTCCCATTTGTAAAGTGGGGTGGCTTGGTAGAGAAATGAGTTCATCCGTGTGTAAGAGAAGGTTGTACTGGCTCGGCAGTCAAAGCACTGGCTACTCTTGCAGAGGACTGGCGTGCAGTTCCCAGCCCGCACGAGGTAACTCACAGCTGTCTCTAATCCCAGTTCTGGGAGATTCAGTGCCCCCTTCTGACTTCTGTGGGCACCAGGCACACGTGTGCATAGACACGCATCAGTCTTGGCTACATAGCAAATTTCAGGCCAGCCCAAACAACAGAGTGAGATTCATGTCTCAGAAGAAAAGAGCCCGTGAGATTGCTTGTCACCAAACCTGATGGCCTGAGTGTAATACCCATTAACTCACATAGTCTGGCAAGTTGTCTTCTGATCTCCATGAGTCTTGTGGCATGGGTGGGTGCACACACACGCGCACGCATACACACACACACACACACACACACACACACAGGAGATAAATGCAAGCCATTTTTTTTTTGTTGTTGTTTTTGTATTTTCGAGACAGGGTTTCTCTGTGGCTTTGGAGCCTGTCCTGGAACTAGCTCTGTAGACCAGGCTGGTCTCGAACTCACAGAGATCCGCCTGCCTCTGCCTCCCAAGTGCTGGGATTAAAGGCGTGCGCCACCATCACCCGGCTTGCAAGCCATTTTTTTAAGTGTAGGGAAAATTATTTTTATTCTCCTTACCTCCCTTTTCTTCTGATATTCTATCCAACTTAGTGATGGGCCGCTCAAACACTTATTCACTCAGTAGACATCCAGGCGCCTACTGGACCCAGCTCTGAGTTAGAGCCTTGGGGGCACAGGGGAGATCTGGATAGTCCCTGCCCGTCTTGTAACTTAGAGGCCCAAGGGGGGAAAGGCCCAAAGGGGAAAAGACAATGGGCCATCTGCTAGAATGAAGGGACTTCCAGGCAACGTGTAGGAGCCCAGGGAGGTGTCTGATCTAGTCCAGGGAGTCCAGAAGCTTCTTTGGAAAGTTGTGTTTGAATGTTTGTCAGGTGAAAGGGGAAAGAAAAACCAGGAAGGGAAGAGACTTAGGACACAAAGCAGCTCCTGGGAGAGGATCAGTCTGACCAAGCTCCTCCCCTTTGGCTATCTTTCTGGTACCTTTGGTCTCCTTTCCCTGCTCAGAGGTGCCCCTTGGCCACACCTCCTGCCCTGAACTCTAGAAAGCCAGACAGGTAACTAGGGAGCTTGAGGGCTCAGTGGCTCCATGCTGACCTGGGGCTCCATGGCGACCTGGGGCCCCACGCTGACCTGGGACTCAGTGCTGACCTTCTTGTTGTGATCCCCCAGGATGAAAAGGCTGAAGGGCTTATCAACATCTCCAACTACAGTCTGGAGAGTGGACAGGATCAGAAGAAAAAATAGTTAAGTCTTGAGATGGGATGGGATGGGGAGAAAAAGGGAGAGGAAGGGTGGGATAGGGTGGACATGTGGCAGGTGGATGGGATTCCTGATCCAACCTCTCTCTGGGTTCTGAATGAGCATGCCCAGAGGAGGCTGTGACTTGGTTTTGCTTGCCGGCAGTGTGTTCCTGCTGACCCATGACGTGTACAAGCCCTTCGTCTTTGCTGCTGAGACCCTGTCTGATCTGAGCATGTGAGTACCACTTCCCTTTCCCTATTCCCATGAGGTCCCCAGCTTCCACATGCTCAAAAGCTGGGCTCAGGAGACTGGACTCAAACTGCAGCTCTCAGAAAGCCTCAGTTTCGTCATCTACAGAATGGGCAAAGGAGAATTTCAATCTAAGTTGCTCTATGAGGGTCAGATCTGTGGATCTGGGACATGGTGGTTCACCCCTTTAATTCTAGCACTTAGGAAGCTAAGGCAGGAAGATTGCAAGTGTGAGACCAGCCTGGGTTACATAGTGAGTTTCAGGTCAACCAGAGCAATATAATAAGACACTGCCAGGCGGTGGTGGCAAAAGCCTTTAATCCCAGCACTCAGGAGGCAGAGGCAGAGGCAGGTGGATCTCTGTGAGTTCGAGGCCAGCCTGGTCTAAAGAGTGAGTTCCAGGACAGGGTCCAAAGCTACACAGAGAAACCCTGTCTCAAAAAACAACAAAAAAAGAAAGAAAGAAAGAAAGAAAGAAAGAAAGAAAGAAAGAAAGAAAGAAAGAAAAAAGAACCTGGAAGAGAACGGAGAATAGAGTCCAGTATAGAGAGCATCCTTGCTTCCTTATACTCAGACTCCAGTACCGTTCAAAAAAGTTCGGGGAAAAAAAAAAATTAAAAACTGTAGGTAAAGGGTGAAAAGCTCAGAGATAAGTGGCCTGCAGGGAATGGGAACCCCACAACCCACGTGCTCCTTCCTCTACAGGTGGGTACGTCATCTCATTACCTGCATTTCCAAGTACCAGACTCCAGGCCAGGCAGCCTCTGCCAGAGAAGAAGGTGAGCATCACAGCGTGGGAGAAGGGGCCCAGACATCACTGAGTTCCTGCCTTTCCCAGGCTGGATGCTGGAGTTCGGATCCCCTGGCCCACTCCCTGGCCTCCCTAAAGCCACTATGTGGTTCTCCGACTCCCCACTGTAGATTGCTACAGCGAGACAGAAGCCGAAGACCCGGATGAGGAGGCTGGGTCCCGCTCCGCTTCGGTGAGTAGTGTCGCTTCACACGAGGACGTAGGGGCTGGGCAGCAGAATGTGGGGGGCTCTGGGCAGCAGGATGTGGAAGGCTCCGGCTCATCCTTGCTCTCATTTGCCCTGACGCAGCCTAGCCTGGCTCCAGCTTGGAGTGACCCATCACCCACGGTTTCACCGTCGCAGAGTCCGAGGACGTCCATTGGCTCTTCAGCAGGTGCTGCGCGGGGAGAAGGGCGCTGGGCTGCGTAGATGTCCCGAATATGTTCACGTGTTCTCATCCTGCATCCCGCTCCCACAGACAGCAGTGACAGGGTGCTGGAAGGAATGGTTCAGGGACTGAGGCAGGGGGGTGTGTCCCTCCTGGGGCAGCCGCAGCCCCTGACTCATGAGCAGTGGCGGAGCTCTTTCATGCGGCGCAACCGTGACCCTCATCTCAATGAGCGAGCGCATCGCGTGCGGGCACTACAGAGCACGCTCAAGGTGAGCTGGGAGCACTGAGCATGGGCAAGGATGAGGCTCTGGGCTTCTGGCCCTGGTGTCTGGTTCCCAGCGCCACTGTGAGCTCCAGACAGTAGACTGAAGGCTTTCTGATTCTGGGACCCAGTTCTGGGCTTCATACTCTATTTGAGGCTTAAGGGTTTCCTGAACCAAGTTCTAGAAGGTTCCGTATACAGAGACTAGATACTAACCCAGGCTCTTGGGCCGGGGTATCCTGGTTTTGGGTTCTGTCCCTCCTGAGGTGAATTTTGCCGTCTATTCTCATTTCAGGCAAAGCTGCAGGAACTGCGGACCCTGGAGGAAGTGCTGGATGACCCTGAGCTCACGGGAGCAAAGTTCCGTCAGTGGAAGGAACGGAATCAGGAGCTGTACTCAGAGGGCCTGAGCACCTGGGGAGGGATACGGGCCCAGAACAGTTCCTCAGCCCCAACCTCTGACTCCAGAGGTCAGTCCCCACAACCCTTGCCCACTGCCTCTGACCCCGAGGAGCCCTCTCAGCTTTTTCCTTTGACCTCAGAGAACAGCCTCCAGCCTCCTGACCTCTGACCCTGGCTAGTGCCTGGCTCCTGACTTCTGACCCTGAGGGCTACGTCATCCCCAGCCTCTGACATGTCTAAGACAGCATGCCCAAGGGGTCTGTGTGAGGCTGGAAGTAGTGCTGGTCCTCGGCATTACCCGCAGACCGATCCCCCTATCCTGGGCTTCCACAGTTTCTGCTCTTGTGTCCCCTGGAGTGGAGGGAACATGGCCTTCCTCTCTGTGCTGTAGAGATCCCCTAACCCATCCTCAGATCTGGGATATATCTGCCTCCCGGGTCCTCCGGAAGGGTTTCCCAGACCACATCTGGATGGGCATTTATTTCACATGAGAGATGCTTTTCTACCAAATAAAGTTGATTTCTCCACCATGAACCCTGTGTCTTTGCTGTGAATTGGGAATCTGCACATACCCCCCCCCACACACACACACACAGGGGTGAAGAGCTGTCCCGCTCGAGTGAACACTTTCCATCACAGGGTGGGTGACAAGCTCCCTGTGTAGCTCATTACCCTGAGTGTCCACTCAAGGCTCCTGTGACAGGGTGCTGGACTCTGTGGTCATTCGTCCCTTTGCTCATCTCACCTTAGTCCTGGGAGGTCAGACCTGCTCCCCTGTTCTAGCCCCAGGGAGGGACACTCTTCTTCAGAGATACGAAAACTTACCTTTCTGGAAGGACCGGGTGGGCAGCTGTGGGACAGGTGGCTGAAGGCAAAGAGTCCCGGGCATCTCTTCTTCACTCAGCCCCACCTCTAGTCCCTGGATCCAGAAAGGGGACCTCTGTTCACTGTATTCAAATGACACGGGAGTGCGACCTATTCCCCTGCCCAGCCTCTAACCTCTGACCCCATCCTGAAGCCAGTGGCTTTTTTTTTTTTTTAAATCCAGTTGGAATGTCTTGGTGGAACGCAGAAGGGTATATGGGTAACAGCTGCCTTTGTGACCTCACTTCAACGGAGAGAGCCTGCCTGCAGCAAATCTCCACTGGAGAGAAGGGGACAGAGCAAAGATGTCTGAAAATCAAAAATCGTGGCTGCAGCGGCCCGAAACCAGCAGGGTAAAATACTTGAACACTACGGTGGGGAGGCCCTGGGTTGGGCAGGGGCAGTGACCACACTAAAGGCCTGCTCCTGTCCCCTGTAGAAAAACAACACCTATACACTCATGGGCCATCATGAAGAGCAAGTACTCATCAGCCGCAGGGACATCATAGACAAGAAGGTAAGGACAGGAGGAAGGTAGGGACAGGCTGGGCTGAGACTTAAGTGACCCCATAGTTCCCTTCTGCGGCCCTCAGCCCTTTAAATGTCCTGAGGACCTTCGTTAGGAGCTAATGCCCACTGAAGTGACTCCTCATAGGGACCCCTCTGTTGTGATAGCCACTCACCAGCAGATAATCCAGGACCCCCAAATGTCCCCAACAGCCAACTCTCTTTTGATGATATTTGTTGTGACTTCTTCCCTGGCAACAATAGCACCCTCTAAGGCAGACCCCCAGGTAGACACCCCCCCACCCTCCACCCCCCACCCCCGTTCCCAGGGAACAGGGAGTAAATCGTCCAGGCAGAGGCCACCTGTGGTGACACCTGCCTGAAGCAAGGTCTCCATTCCCTCCCAGGATGCCTTGGACATACAGGAGTTCATCACTACCTTGTTTGTCAAGCAGTTGCTTCGACATCCCGCCTTCCAGCTGCTGCTGGCCATGCTGCTAGTGACCAACGCCGTGACCATTGCTATCCGTACCAAATCTTACCTCGGTCAGGTGGGCTGCTGGCCTGATCTCTACCCCTACTGGCTCTGACCTGGGACAAGGTGCTTCCTTTCCAGGCCCTTGACTCCTGATGGTTGGATTGGATGTTCTTCAGGACTCGGGTCCCCAAACAGGCCTAGTGCAGCAAACCTTTTACCCTAATGTTCAGGAGGCAGAGGCAGCCCGATCTCTGTGAGTTAGCAGCCAGCCTTGTCTGTGTAGCAGGTTCCCGGCTAAGCAGACTGCATAGTGCGATTATGTTTAAATAAGTAAATACATAAAAAAGACAGTCTCCGTGGACCTTCATGGGATCTGCCAGTCAAGAAAGACTTTTTGGGCTAGAAATGGCTCAGTGGCTAAGAGCACTTGTTGCTCTTCCGGGGGATCTGAGCTTGGTCACCTGAGTATGGATTTCCAGAACCCGAATAAAAGCTGGATGCCACAGTCTGGTGTAGGTGAGAAGAGCCTTGTAGCTAGCTCAGTGAGGACCCTGGAGGTCCATGCACCAGCCATTGTTTTGTTATGAATGCAGATGGCCCAGGATTCTGATAGTGAACTTGAGCGGGGGAGACAAAAGGAAAGGGGGGGGTAGAAAACAGAGGGCGCAGCAATATAGTTTTTCTTTCATTTTGCACGTGTATATGTGTGTGTGTGCATGTGTGCTCACGTGCATGCATGTGTGTGTGTTTGTTTGCATGTGTACATGTACCATTGCAAGAATGTGAAGGTCGAAGGATGACTTCCAGGAACCGACTCTCTCCTTCCACTGTGGGACCCCACTAAGGTTGCCAGGCTTGATGACGAGCACCTCTACCCACTGAGCCACCTTGCCAGTCCCCGAGGACCTTTTTTTTTTTTTTTTGGTTTTTCGAAACAGGGTTTCTCTGTGGCTTTGGAGCCTGTCCTGGAACTAGCTCTTGTAGACCAGGCTGGCCTCGAACTCACAGAGATCCGCCTGCCTCTGCCTCCCGAGTGCTGGGATTAAAGGCGTGTGCCACCACCGCCCGGCTTGGCTCGGAGGACCATTTTGTAAAGTGTTAAAACAAGATCTTATGGGTCTCAGTCAAAAATGCTGGAACTGGGACTGAGAGTGTAGTTCAGTTGGTAAATCAGAAATTCAACATCATCCTTGGCTACATAGTTTGAAGCCAGCCTGGGCTACATGAGATTGCCTCAAAGAATATAGTAGAACAAGAAAAATAAGCAAAGCCTGAGACCCTAGAGTGGAGTTTGTGACTGAAGATCAGAGCCTAGAAGGCTGTAGGTGCAGCTGGCCGGCCGTAGTGAGTGTGGACAGCAGAAGGCCCACATACAGAACAGGGAATCTTTTGGCTACTGGGGTACAGAAAGAGAAGAGGCAAGATAACTGGTTTCCCGGGGTGGACCCCATGGACTGAAAGGGGGTCACAGCTATAAGGAAGCTGAGAGAGCAAGATTGAGGTTGAGGAAGAGTGAACTTGGTCTTGGACAGAGCGTAGCTACCAATCTGCCAACCCGTGCACCCAGGGTACATGTTCTGGATATACAGAGGGAGGACGCCTCTGACCTGACCCAGAGAACTTGGAATGCTGCAGCCACAGGGGTGGTTGGGACCAGGCTAGCAGAGAAGTTCACTAGGGTCTGGGGTCCTGCAACTCCTGGGGGGGGGGCGACTTTTTATGTTTTTGTTGTTGTTGTTGTTTTGTTTTTTTTTTGTTTTCTTCAGTTCCAGAGTCTGTTTAGCCCTTCCTCCACCCCCTTTCCCAAATAGCCTACTCTAGAGGCTGGGGTGAAGGCCCGCCGTGTGCTTCTGGGCTCCTAACTCCCCATCTGGGAGATACGACAGAAAAGGACAGAACAGTCACCTGACCCAGCACGTGACTGCACTTAGCACTGCCTGGCATATGTGCAGAAAGTAGTTCCTAAAGAAACCCATAGAGATGCTAAGGTGTAAGAGTAACAGGGGTACTCCCCACACCCTCTCTCCAGTCCCCCACACCCTCTCTTCAGCCCCCCCACCCTCTCCTCAGCCCTCACACCCTCTCTCCAGCCCCCCATACCTTCTTCCCAGCACCTCCATTCTTTCTCCAGCACCCCATCCTCTCTCCAGCCCCCCATACCCTCTTCCCAGCACCTCCATTTTTTATCCAGCACCCCATCCTCTCTCCAGCCCCCACACCCTCTCCTCAGCCCCCACACCCTCTCCAGCATGGCTCAGATTCTGCTCACTGATGCCTCTGCCCCTCTCTTTCCTGGCAGCAACACTATGAGCTGTTCTCAATCATAGATGACATCGTGCTGACCATCCTTACGTGTGAGGTTCTTCTGGGCTGGGTCAATGGCTTCTGGGTTTTCTGGAAGGTAAGGTCCCTGGAATTTCTGTCAATATACCCTCACCTCATCCCTCCTTGGGGTCTGCAGGCACATCAAGTCTTTGTCCTGAAAAATAAAGGGTTTGTATGGAGAGAGAGAGTGTATCAGTGTGAGGGGCCTTGTGGGGGAGATTTTAGAGAGATCTGTGATTGGGCAGAACGTACGTTGTTCAGGAAGTGCCCCTTCTATGTGTTTGAACCCCTGCTCTTGCCTCCCCAGCTCTCTCTACTCACACGAACCCTGGTTTCTGTCTTTGGGGAAATGGAGTCAAGGAACTGAGAGTATCTATCTTAATTCACATGGTGCTGGATCAGAACTCCATTATCTTTTAATGTAATGTAGTAATTTGTTATGTTTTATTTGGTGTGTGTGTTGGGGGGAGAACTTGTTTGGTTGGTTGGCTTGGTTTTTCCAGACAGGTTTCTCTGTGTAGCCCTGGCTGTCCTGGAAATTAGTTCTGTAGGGCAGGCTGGCCTTGAACTCACAGAGATCCCATTGCCTCTGCCCCCCCATGCCCCAGTGCTGGAATTAAAGGAGTGCGCCGCCACCACCACCCAGCTTGTATTTTAAGTTTTATAGGCTCTATAGTACTCACCTCAGGTAGCCAGAAGCACAGCCAGCACACAGATGGGTGGCAATGGTAGCATTCCAGCATAGCTCCCCGGTCACCTGTGTGTTGAAGAAGTGTTTGTTTGTTTGTTGTTTGTGGGTCTTATTAAGTTACCCAGGCTGACCCCAAACTCCTGACCTCTAGTGATCCTCATGCTTCAGCCTCCCAGTGATCAGCTCTAGTCCAGTAAGATTCCACTTGCCCAGGCACAGTCTGGAGGCTGAGGTAGAAGGATACCTGGCCTAGGTCGTGGGACAGACAAAACCCTTCACGTGTGGACCCTGCAGTTTGAGTTTAATGTAATTTTCACATCTCCCCGCTGATCCTCCCTCTTCCCTTGCTTTCAAATCACACACTGACTCTCTTCAGGAGGTCTCTCCCAGGCTGGGCTTTTGCTGCTCTGTATCTCCTTCCTAGGTTCTAGAAATTCTCTCTGGCAGAGTTAAAGAGTGTTCTCTATCCACCTCCCTCAAAAGAGTCTATGAACCCAGCATGACAAAAGCTGTATCCCCAGAACTTGTGACACCCCCACCTGCACCACCTCCATCTCCTGAGTGACTGGGATGACAGGCCTTGATTCCACAGAGAGGCAGCCTTTGTCTCCCAGTGTGTATGGTGTGTGGCATAGACTCAGTGAGGTGAGTAAGACTTGAAT